GTGTGTGTGTGTGTGTGTGTGTGTGTGTGTGTGTGTGTCTGCATATTATGAGTTCGTGTGTATAGCTTTAATCGTCTACACGATCTATATCATTTAGGAGGCGGGTTTTCAACCCTGCCTGTCAGGCACAACCCAGGTTGAGAGGGATACAACGTCCCAGCAGGCAGGCTGAGACACTCCATAAGAATGTGTCCCAATTCAGGAAACAAACTCATGTACTTTGCGGGCGAGAGAAGCGCCAAACCGCTACACCACAGAAGCTAGTTCATAATTTTAACTTTTAAAAGTTTGTGTATAGGGGCACCAGTTGTTCCTGTATATCATTGTGTACTGTTGAAGCCGTTTTCTTCTCCTTTTTAAAAAAAAAATTCTTTCTGTTAATAAGTTGATTGCATCCTAAATATTATAAGATTGTAATCTTGAAATTTGCCTGTCTACTCAAAAGGAGTAGAGATGGGGATGGAAAAGGGAAAAGGGGAAGGGGTTGGAGAGGGGTTGGCTGAGGGGTGTGGGTGTGGGGGTGAGTATAGAGTAGGTTAGGTTGAGGTATGGGTGGGGGAATTTAAGATTAAGGTTGTCCACGTTTTGTTACATTGACGATCAACTCAGTATTGGTCAGATTGTGATGGGAACGGGGGTGGGGTTTGTTGAGTTTGTTGGGGGTTTTTTTGGGGGAGGGGGAGGGCAGTGGAAAGGTTGGGATTGGGGCGGGGGGATGTGTTGAGGATTGAGGGAGAGGGAGAGGCGATAGAAGAATGAGTGCGGAGAAGGGGGGGGTGTGGGTGAGGATTTGGATGAGGCTTTGGGTTTCAACATTATGATTTAACATTGACAACCTACACATTAGGCGTATGGATTGTTCTTAGGATTGCAGTGAGAATGGAGGGTTGGGGTTGAGGGGGTGGGGATGGGTGAACGAGTATGGAGATGGGAGTGAGGATAGGGGTGGGGATTTGGGGGGAGGGTGGGTGTTTTGTATCTTTTTAAAGTCAGGATTTTGGGGCGTAGGTGTGGGTGGATGTTTTATATCTTTTTAAAATCAGTGACAGAACTCACATGTAATACCAGGGTGTCTTTGTACGTGTGAGTTTGTTTGTGTGTTTGTATATGTGTGTTTGTATATGTGTTTGTATGTGTGTGTTTGCTTGTGTGTTTGTATATGTGTGTATGTATATGAGTTTGTACGTGTGTGTTTGTTTGTGTGTTTGTATGTGTATATGTATATGATTATGTCATTAACTCACTGACAAAGGGCATGTCCGTATCCACGGTCAAACATCTGAGGCCTGTCTCACAAGGACATGACCGGCTCAGCAAGATCTGCATGTTGTGGCAGGGTGCGTCTTCCGACAGGTTCTTTTGGCACGTCCCTGCACCATCGACAACAACAACAATTGTATGCACCATAGAAGTACCATCGGTATTATTATTATTATCATTATTATTATTATTACTATTATTACTATTATCATTTATTGTAGTAGTAGTAGTAGTAGTAGTGGTAGTAGTAGTAGTAGTAGTAGTAGT